GGTACAAGGGTCGAGCGGCCGTTTATAAAGCTACCATTTTGAAAGTTTGTGGTGAGTACAAATTGCAATATTCTGTACGTGATCAAAACTGAGAATCGAATCGGTCACTTGCATGCCACAATTTCTTAAGCTTACACTTTACAATGAAGTAAATCTATCAGTAAGCTGAAGATTTCAGGATTATTTTAGTCACGTTTGACAAGCTGCCAGCCTAGCAAAAAAAAGACAAACAGCTCCTTAGTCTGCAGTTTAGGAAAACTTCATTACAAGTTATTGTTACAGTTACAACAAGATTTAATTCAAAAATCAACTATTCAACTGTAATTAAGCCCTTCACTACCAAGAGTGTTAAGTCAAAATTGAGTAGAAATCTTTGAATTTCTATTTGCAGAATCAACAAAAACAAACAGTGTAACATGAAATTGCTGCTTGACAGCTTACATTTTAATTTTTAGTACACAAGAGTTTTGTTGTATTGCAAGCATACAGTTATATATACACTGTTGTATTGTCTTTGGTGCAAGTAAAGTGGAGACTTTTTCATTCCAAATTCATGGGGTTTCCGAGGAATTCTCATGGTGCTTGGATATTCCCAAGAACTCCATGAAAACTAACTGGCAATTAACTTTCCTCTGCCATGAAAATACCATGGAGAGGCCATGAAAACTCAGGGAAAATTGCTATAGTCAATGAATTTTTTACATACTCACAGGATATTGATGGGTCATGATTTGCTGCAACCCACTAAAAGCTAGTGAATTTTAACACCATGAACTTCTTTGACATGAAATTCATGGGTTTTTCAGTACCTCTGGAAAGGCCATGAAATGCCATTTTCATGGGTATTTCATGGCTTCTAGGTCACCTTACACAACATTTCTTAGGTCAGGAATATTAAATTTTTTTACAGGTTTTTCATGGGATTTTTCATGTCTTTTTCATGGCACTGAGACCAAGTAGATCTAAACTTGGGTAGCCAGTCTACAAAAAGTTTGATGAGGGACAAGTACCAAATATTATTAGTGACAATATAGCTCATCTACTTTTAATTCCTTTAATTCATAACGGGCATTTAAAAAATAAACATAACTAGGGGATAGCAGTAGCATTCCTTCCAATTTCTTTGTAACCAAATACACAGGGAATGTTGAATATCTGATTCATTTGTTTGCATATTTTGTTTGTTGTATATTTGTTTTTCCCTTGACTTTAAAGTTTCTTTTGATTATTATCACTGATTTGTCTTGCTCTCCTCTTTGCTTTTTTTTCCTTTATTTTTGTTCCTACATCAGAGATAATGACCAATCTCTGTCACAAATGCATTTAAGTCTTTCTATGTCCCTTGGAGCTGGACAAATTTTCTTTCTCTCGGGGATAAACACCCCAGAAAACATGGTAAGTTGCATGTTCCCACATTCACTGATGAAATTGCCTTTTTTCGCAGCTGGAGAATGTACTTCTGTGTTCTTGCTTGCTTTCTTGCTTGTATCACAGCAGCATCTCTTATGAAGTCTTTCCTGATGGCCGCTTTCTGTTGGATGCTGGTCGAGGGGATTTATCTCTACCTGTTTGTTGTAAAGGTGTACAATATCAACACCAAGATGCACATGTATCACGTCATGTCATGGGGTATTTATGAATATTTACTGCCTTATTTGGTATATGATTCCCCGACATACACTGCATTCTTCTTTCTCTCTATTTGAAGGCCTTCCTATCGTCATA